ATGCTGGTACCTAAATAATCGAAATAGGGTAGAGTTTGTTTTCTAGAGGCAGGTGAGCTCCAAATTAGTACCGGGAATTTCTGAGGCGCGTCCACTGATTTCTTTATTTGCTAATACAGTAAGCTACAGTTAAGGCACTACTGGTTGAAGATATTAGCGGCAATAAAAAGCCTAAAGTTAGTTGGCAAACAGCTGTGAGCAGGATCAAGTGAATCCAATCTAGGTATAACTCATCATCTGACGGGCATATGCAGTGGTTCAAGTATCGACCGAACATGATCTGTTGGTGTAAGCGCAGTGGTGATGGCACTGGGGTTTAGTCGCTGTCACCGGCGTGCTTTGGACCCTTTGGTCAGAGGTTCCGGCCCCGCCACCGCCACCCAACTTTGGTGGTAGGCAACTCTGCTGTCGTTCAGTTCAACACCACGCCCAACCTATCGGGGCTTATGTGGTTCACTCTTCTATATCCCGGAGCTTAGATTACGGTTTCCACTACTGAACAACAGGTCCTCGTGAATGTAGGTTTCGCCTCCTCTGCGGTTCATCACACTGAGGTCAGCGGGGTAAGTTGAAATGATGAGGAAACAATTGGATAGTATTGTGAGACAACTCAAGATGATACCGGGATATTTGAATTTTATATTCAGGCCACGGAATTTGCAAAAGGTATAGAGAACCGATCGAGACAATACAATTCCTCAGGTGCATAATAGCCCAAATGCACTTCCTTTTGGGGACAATGCTTGGTACTACGTTCTACTCTCTGTATGTTTCTTTACAAGCACTTTGTATGCCTGTGTCCATGCCGTAGTATGACAACCAGCTGGATGACTTCAGTGGACAAGAGCTTTCACGCTGTCATCGATGAACAAACAGAAGCAATGGGCAGCAGAACTGGAATAATGTAGCACTCAGTTTATTGGGATTAATAGACTCGGTACTGAGAAACAGATTTGGGAAATCTGGATAACGGTTTTTTGATAGTAAAAGAGAATCGGGTACTCATCGAAAGTAAAACATCCAGTCATGTTGGAGCCTCCAGTAAGAAAATCGGGACAAGAATTCAGGGAACTCATTCATGGTACTTTGTTTGGTGAGATCGTTCAGTCAGAGAAGTTGAATATAAAATCTGATCGACAGAAGCTGAGGCAGCAATAGCAAGATAGGTGTCAAACGTTTGATATGGGGATAATTTATGATTAATTGTACTGGAAGATTGATTTTGACTGGGTGTGTCTCTTCTTAAGNTGGAACAACAGTACACACCTTTCTGGACTGTCTACATCATAATCATCATCATCTTTGTCGAACAGCGAGATACGGTGAAGCAAACTTCAGTGAACGCTGCCCAGCTCACAGTGCACACAAATCAAGTGATAAAGCACAAGATGGAGAGGGATTGGGCCTAATTCAAAGAAGGCAAAGAAAGTGAACCTCTATGGTCAACACACAGAGTACACAAAGTGTGCACACACACGTTTTCAAGCATTCTGACCTGATAAGAAATGAAACAAGAACGCCACTCGTGTCGTTTCGTTGTCGTATCCTTCAGTCTCCAACCAACCAGTTGCAGAAAATATTTTGAACACGAACCTGGAAGACGGGACTTGTCTATCTGGACTGTTTACTGGTTTTTGCTGGCTCACCAATAAGGTAGACCCAATCCCTGATCCAATTCACTCATTCGTATTTCCGTTTGCACAAATGGTGAGCATGCTAACAATCAACGGAATCTGCGCTACATCGTTTATCCATATGATGACAGTAATGACATTACACGAAGAAAAGAAGCAAATGCCCAAGTACGAACGGTCGCGGCCCGGTGGTTCTCTCATCAAATTATCACCCCGTGGGACTTGTGTTCGAACCCCACTGCCGCCACCTTAATTCCCTTGTTTCTGTTGTATGGCCGACCTTAGATATGCCGCTTTTCCCCGCCTGAAAATCGCATCATTGTATATTCAATGAAAAAAAAGAAGTAAAAATGAAAAACCTAATAAGTCAGAGCGGGTTAGGGTAGTAGCCAAATTAGGAATGACGGTGCTTTACTTCCATTCAACAGCTCCAGCCTGGACGTCGAGTGAGATGTGAATTATCGGAAACTAACAGAAGACGATGAAAAAGATGTGCTTTGCGGCCAAAAGCAAACATTCTAATTCATATTATGAACCAGTTGCTACTAAATTTGGAAATTTTCAACAGTGCTGATTTTCTTGTAGAATTTGTTTGCCACGACAAAGCTTATTTAATTATATGCGAATGTTACTGAGTAAACTATAGATACTAAGTGGGCAATCTTTTGTAAGCCTAGTAGTATGGGAATGGGGACATATGCACAGACAAAGTGGAAAAGTGAAACGTTCGTGTTCCACGGGAAAATAGACACACTTGTCAGAATGTGCCATGCATACTCTTGTTCCAAGCCATCCTGAGAAAACGCTGTTTCGACTGGGCTGCATTCATCGTGAACAAAAGGGATGAGGGGCCAAGTGCAAACCATATTCAACAAAACAGAGAACTTGAAGGGATTAAAGTTTACGATCCTTACCATGGTGATTATGTTGTGGCCTACAACTGACTGATTAGTTTCATATATGCCTGCGGCCAAATTGGTTGATCGATCGATTGGTTAGTTGATTGACCGATTGTTTGTGAACCGGCTACATATTGGCTATTTACAATAAACTTATTGCTTAATTCGTTGCGTGCTCATTTACCTACTTAATTTGGAACAGCATTTGGCGTCGCGTGCTCGAACTTGCCTAATACATTTGCTTGCAAAATGCTCGGTTCAGGGAGTCCTCCAGTTTCTGCTACCAAACCATCCGATGTGTCATGGAAAACATGTTAAAAAAACATTCATGGATTACGTCGAGGGCAGGCTATCTTTGACCGGATGAATTTGCGAGAAAAATCGTTGAAGGATGTCATTGCTTCATTGAACAAATTCTGGAACAGTTCTGCAAATGCGAAAGTGGCCCGTTTCGTATCCGAATTTGAATACTGTTCGAGTACACCGGAAGGCCCCTACAAAAAACTTTTAAAATATTCGCAGTGTTCAGTCCCACTGCACCCGAACGAGTATTCCATCTTTTCAACCTTCATTACCCTCCACTAATACGCATGACGTGCAGTCGATTGTGCAGACAAGTGAACTTCATAAAACTTCCAGTCACAGGTTTAAAAAGCTCCAGTTGTTACCTGTGGTTGGCAAACATATCGCAACAAAGTCGAATCCGATAAATCGGTCGGTGGAGCACCAAAAATCAAAGGAAGCCCGTGTCACGATTCACATAATCGTGCCGCAAGGTCACACGGAATTCGTCAGAAATGAATGATTCATGACATTGAAAAGGAGAAGGGTGAGTCCAGATTCGTTTCGTCCTTGAGAATTGAAAACGTGAGCACACCAAGAGTGACCCAATACGGATTTATGAGTCACTTATCAGATTTCCGCCTCCCAAACCTTGCCCGTCTCAATTCAAAACTGACTATGGAAACGGAGAACATTCCGGAACTACACTTAGGAGGTCTGTAAAATTGCCGCATTGTTCAGCTCAGATCCCGAAGACATCGTTCAAACTATACAAGGTTTATTAGTTTGTAGTTTGTTATTTTTAATTGCGAAAAGATTATCCCTTTCCTAATTTGTGGAAGAAAAGGTGATGTTGTAGCCTACAACTGACTGATTAGTTTTCATACACGCCTGTGGCCAAATTGATTGACCGATCGATTGGTTGATCGATTGACTGACTGTTTGAATTCGAAATTCGAATGTGAAATTCGAAATTCGCAGGTAGCTCGACGTGTGAGCCAGGCCCGCCTGCCTGCCTGCCTGCCTTCCCACACGTTCATTCCTGCTTGTTCCCCGGTTTGTAAACCGGCTACATATTTGGTGTTTGCAATAAACGTACTGCTTAATTCGTTGTGCGCTCATTTATCTACCTAATTTGGAACACACCCGTTTCCTTTGTGACAGCCCAGGTGTTTCACCCAATATATGTGAATGGCCCCAAACATCAGAAAAATCTTTTTCCCAGCTTGGGTACCCCGGTTGTATGTACTGTGGTGTGCATGGAGATAAAGTTGTGCATGCACATGGACTAAATTGTTCGCCTTCTATTTTAAATACTCGTGGTTTGTTCTGACGGGTAAATACAATAGAATTGAGCGCCACTCAGTAGAGCCTGGAATAAATTTTGTGGCATGCTTGTCATCATGTCGGTCACACCCATAACATTTGCGCAATTGTCGTGAGACTTGTAACTTCATGCGGAAATGCAGTGTCCAATCTTGAAACAACTTTCCCAACGTTCTGTTTAATTTTATCTCAAAATATCTGACAGCAGAATTCGGCCTTATGCTTGTTGCCAATGCTTTTAAGTGCGTCACTGCAATCAACTGGGAGGGGGGGGGAGCGTGATATATTCAAGTTACTGTTTCAAGTTCCTATAAACAGTACTCTCCATATCTATCCAGATCTGACCTGATTATTTTCAAAAAGGTTTACTGATCATAAATTCAAACTCTGCCATTGTTAGCATTCACCTTTCCGAATGCGATCTCTGTAACAGAGGAATTCAGTGAGTCCAAATGTGATCTTCCAAAATTCCTGGGGTGGGGGAGATCAATTTGCATTGAGTATTAATAACATAAAAAAATGAATAAAACATAATACTCTTGTTCATGTCCTTTAGCTTCAAGGAGGGAAGAGAAATTTTGCGGGTAAAATTGATTTTAGTTGAGTATTCTCAATCTAAGACATTATTCATTTCTTTTTTATAAAAATCACCGGTACAATAAAATTCCAGAAACGTGGGAGGGTGATTGACCAAAGATTGTGCGATATGTATCCCAATTGGTTGCAGTGATCGAATACATCCTACCTCTCTGATTTCCGTTCTTCTGGATTACGTAATGGTACACACTGATCATACTGAATAGCTAAACAAGAGAATTCAAAATCAATAACCCAAGATGAATTTTGTCTATGAAAATTATAACTGAGAGAAAAGGGTTCGGTGGAATGAGAAACGGATAAACTTTACGAGAGAGAGAAGTTACTCAGGAGAAAATCATTTAAATCGATCGAAATTTTTAGTGTCAAGAATATCGTTCGATCAGCCGAAATTTACTGGCATCAAATGATTATTTTCTTATCATCTCCCCTAAAACTGAAAATCGATAAATTTTCAATTTTCAGTTTGGCATGTCTGGGTCAAGCTTGGAATCCGGTTACTGTACGCTCAACCTCAAGCTTCAGTACTGCGGCAACCCAGAAGTGAAATGGAGGCTCAGAACTCCTCAGCATGCGTTCTGGTGGTGATGATGTTCTATTAGATTGGGTTGCCAGAACTGTCGAAGTGATAATCACTAGGATGTTAATCGTTGAGAGAATACTGGTCGATAATACATTTCAGCAGACGGAAGGCAACAGTTTTATGTAGGAAGAAGTTTTCTGCTAAATGTAGACGTTAATATGCCAGATTGTTTGCTGAACTGCAAACCCAGTTACTTGGCTCGATCGTTCCTCCGGAATGTATCGACGAAATAAGAGAGTAAATCAACTCAAAATATTCACTTTTGGTCAGTCAGTTGACGCATACCATTCGCTCTATTTGCTTATGGGTTCCAACATGAAAAGTTCCTTTTTGTATATTGGAAAAATGGTTTGAAACATAAATCAATTATTGGTTTTGTTTGGACTTGGTGTCACTTCCAGTGATTGTTCTCTGATAACCTTTATCCTGCATATGGCTATTCCACTGCGAGCGAAATAAAATACAGCTAAAAGGTGCAGGAATTCATCTATTTTATGAAACGCGTGCGTGTTGTTAGGAAAAGTCGGAGATTTAAATGGATACATACAACAGACCGGATCTTCCTCAACCAACTTGATTGGCTGTAGGGTTCAGTCAATCATTTGGGTTAAGTTATCTTTGTTCTGATTGGTTGTTCCAGAAAGAAAGCAGTTCTGACTGGCAGGTCTTGAAAAGTGTTCCTTCGAGTTCTATCTCAAAACCCTTGGAATTGAGTTACAAACTCGACAACTTTCTACTATTATGGCACACCTTTGAGATACAAGCATATGATGAAGTAGACATCACAACTGTGATCGTTAATTGACACTTGTTGCATTTATCTCAGTTTTTATTCAACAGGGACATGTCACCAGGACATTTTATCTCAGACCGCGCTTCGCATTGTGGGATCTCAATGCAGCTGTTCTCCCAAGGGCGAAGAGCCTTTCCTAGATTGAGCTCACCACATCAATAACCAGAAACAGGCTGTCCACTGTCCGTGAGAGAAATCGTTGCCAATATGTTTGAACTGAACTGCTTATTTCAAAAGAAAAGACCATATTGCAAAACTGCACGATTAATGTACAGGACGATTTTGCTGCATCTCAACATGGTGCATGCTGCAGAAAGTATAATGTTTATGTAGGGCCTTAGCATGGCAACAAAGTGAAACAAAATACATTAAACCAGACAAAAGGGTGACGGGGTAAAAGAACCACGTCACCAGGGTAAGGATAGACTCACATAAAGTTCTCTTTGCTGACACAGGGGGCCTCCATCAATTATTAACGGTCGCTTCAGCAAACATTAGCAATCGTGAGACTCGTGAATTGTAGACAATCCGAACCGCTGTGTTTCAGTCGATCTGGTGTTGCGTAATCAGCAGATGTCGACCAATGGCTGAAGACGAGGTCTTGTAGTTCCGACCGTCGTTTCTATGCAGCGGACTAGACCTCTATTCGGTCATTTGATTTTGGACCCAATTTGGAATATGTTCTACCACCCGATTGCGTAATTGCCGCTCTGTTCTGGCACGTAAGTTTATATTTGTAAATAGAAATAGAACGGGAAAACAAGGAAATACTGGGTTCAACAGGGAGTGACAGAAATTTAGATTGTGCTGCGAGAGACAGTTGTCAGTGAAAAGTTGCGAAAGCGAAGCTTTATGTGGTCAGATCGAGAGAATGATTTTTAGGCCCAGTGAATAGGAGTAAAAAGCGGTAGCCGGTGGAAACTGATGCTTTCAGTGAAAAGGGCTGGTTAGTGTTTGCTCTGTTCAGTGCAGAGTCACTTTGCGTATCCTTTACGGTGCATCTGATGGACGGTAGACCAAAATCTTGAACGATTGTCCAAATCACTGTACATTTTCACTACGGTAGTGGACAAGTGCTCTGGGTTTGCAGGTTAAACGAGCTGAAATTGTACTAACAACTCCCCGAAAACCCACATAATAAACGAAATGGACATGAAAAAATACATATTGTTTTCTGTTTCCAGTCCAGAAGGGCAAAATAAAATGTGGTGGGTAGAGGGTCATGGAACACGAAGAGACTCGACAAATTATCTTGAGCACGTAAATGGGATGTGTGAATGTGAATGCCGTCCACTTCAACTGTCGCCAGGACGATGAGGTTATTGTCCACGGACCTGATATATGGTGTTAAATGTCTTGTTCAACTCATTTAAGTGATCTAACTGGAGAAAGTGTAAACAGATTGCACTGGTGACCGAGTGACTCCTATAAGCACCCAAGCCGGATGACGTTCAGGAACTCGTTGAGTCAAGCGTCTTCTCGTACAACTACTGATTTAGGTCGTCGCAATCAAAGAAGTGAAAGAATAAATACAGCGCGAGGTCATAGAAACGGAAACATTTTCCTTGAGCGGCAGCCTGATAAAGGACCTGGAAGCGAAGGTATGATGATAGACTTCATAGCGAAGAAGGTTTGCTTGATCGTAGTTGTCAAACTTTGAGGAACTATCTATCTCCATCATAGTGCCACTGGCAATCGACAGTCCTATTGTAACGAGAAGGCGAGCTGGCTGGGAAAACGTCTATTGATCCAATTCAAAAACAAACAGTGTCTACGTTCGATTATATACAGTCAATTCTGAACCGCGCGGCGGA